CTTAGTTAGTTAACGTTCTTCTATCTCCCTCAGCTGTCCCTCCAGCTCACGTTTCTACAACACAGACAGCACAGCTTAGTTAGTTTGTTAACGTTCTTCTATCTCCCTCAGCTGTCCTTCCAGCTCACGTTTCTACAACACGTACAGACAGCACAGCTTAGTTAGTTAACGTTCTTCTATCTCCCTCAGCTGTCCTTCCAGCTCACGTTTCTACAACACAGACAGCACAGCTTATAAGATTTTATTATTTATCTGACACTTAGATGCCAAGAATATCCTGTATACTATAAGGCCACACCAATTTAATTTCCAGGTTAATAGATTCGCCCCCTTCATTCTTTTTCATTATTTGGAAAGAAAAAAATTCAGAATCAACTGCAAAATGCTCATATTTTGCCCTGAACAGTTGAAAACAGTCCTTTTCTTCCTAGTTGTTACTGTAACAGTTATTCCATCTTTCAATGCAGTGGTATCATTAAAAGTTCAAAATTCATTGTTGAACCTGCCTGGTGTGTTGACTTCATGGCTCCTATTGTACTATTTTGGGCCATAATAGGATGCCTAGGCCTGTTTTTTTTTCGCCCGTCCGCTCCATTATTTTTCTAGAAAAATCTGATAACCAAGTGTGGCCTAATACATTTTGATAATACAAAAATATTTGGATGCACCAGTGCACCCACAGAAAAAAATTAGGTGCACAGCTCCAATTTTGGCACCCAGTATTTTGAGCCCTGTTTATATCATCATCCTTGCAGACTCCAGGAAGAACAGCGTGAAACTTAATAATATGTATTAAGGTGGTCCAGAAGGATAGCTGAGGCATATTTAGAAATACTACAAACTCTATCTGATATGGTAGTCTTTTGGGTCTATTTTTATAATTTTCTTTCGTCTTGTCACTATGGCCACATTTTGGCCGCCAAATTGACCGCCAAATTGTGCATTTTTTTCAGTCTCCAGCCAGGCCCCAGTGGGGGTGTGCACATTATTTTTAAAAGCTACTCCGCCGCTCGACCAATCAGGCTCGCTGGTCATTACGTAAACTGAGAGCTTTACTTTCATAATTTTTGGGAAGGGAAAAGACACTGGAAAAGAGAGTTTTACTGAGAGTTTGATGTTAGTTGTTTGCAAAACGTTTTGGGTAAAAACCTGCCAAATGCAAAGAATAATAATTTTCTGAAAACACAAGCCGTTTCCATTGTTTATCACACTTCGTATCGGCAAAATGTTGTCAAGTTGCAACACAAAACCAGAGATATGCAGCCACACAAATCACCAAAAACGCCAGAAATAATCTGACAACTTCCTATATAAAAACATTCGACTGCTAAAAGAAACGAAGCTGTCTGCTTTGAGCCACAAGTTAGATCTTGGTTTAGTTATGAGCGGCCTGGAGGACCGGGTCACTGCATGCATAAAGAGCCGCGCTTGGTAGTTCATACTCCACCGTGCATACTCGGCCGTCATTATGCGGCGTTATCCTTTGTGTTCTTTCATAATTTTCACAGACAACTCATACTAAGTAATTTTCTACCGAATAAAAACACGTCTCTACCTGTGCACTGTCTTATTATTCTGAGTTTGTATCGACTGCAACACGTTTGTAACTACTAAACGTTAACGTTACGTTCTAGTGAACAGACATGATAAGAACTACTAGTATTTTTTATAAAATCTACGTTTTTATTAAAAAATACGATACTTACAAACTTCAGCAGAATTTTTACATAATCTTACGGTAACTGCTAACAATAATCATTTACGATTTACAGCATACAGCAAATAGTAGCCGCTTACAAAAAAAATCAATTCCAAAAGATTTACAGAGATAGTCCGTACTTTTCAGATAGAACATATAGCCTAGGCGATCGGTGCGAAAATTGCTCAAATGGTGATAAAAGCATGAAACTTGGCACAAATGTTCTACACGACACTAGAAACAATTTCAGGGGTGGAGCCATCACGAACTGTTCTTTGCCTAGCAACTGTTGCTAGGCAACATGCTTTTCCAAGAAAACAATGTATTAGGAAGCTAGTACCTGCTAATTGTGCCTGAAAACCATTTATAATGTGCAAAAAAATGAGGTGTTTTACTGTATCTGACATCACTTTTTATATCAAAATAAATTTTGAGCCGTTGTAAAGCACAATGCGCTTCGAAAAGCTGATACTTTCTGGAATTTTTAATAGAAAAGTGTAGAAATTAAATTTTATAATCATGCATATTTTCCCGTTACCTATGGGGCCTTGAAAGGTATATTTGATTGATAGACCTGAACATTCTCTGAATGGTAAACTTTAAATTTCAAAAATCCATCAGTTCTATCAGGAGATATAAGTGTTTGAAGATTAACACAATGTCATCCACTTAAATCAGTAGATTGGTTGCTATGGCCGTTGCTAGGGACGGCTTGGGCTGTGGTCTGCATGGGAATAGATGCTAAAATTTTATTTTTCTGCCAGCTTTTGCGTTGTTTGTGTGTACAGAAATGCAGGTAAGAGATGCCTGGTGTCTGCATATAAAAATGACGCAATATTTCTCTCTTACAAGAGGATTTTTACAAAAACGCTGAAGCGCTGTTAAGGTTGTTGCTACGAACGCGTTTGCCGTACTCACAACACGTTGTACTTGTAGTCCATGGGCCAGAGGAGATATCGGTACCACCTGAGGTGGCAAATTCTCATCATGGTTTTCGAAAAGTAGGGTGTCTGTGGAATATTTTTTGATATGATAGCCGTTGCACATTGGTAGCTTTGACCTTGCT